GAATTGTCTTTAAGACTTCTGTTGCCTTGCATGTGTGCATTAAATCTACCCCTTCATAGATAAATTTCTCTGAAACACTGTCATCTTGGTACTGCCAGCAACAGATGGACTGCTTGCTTGTTGCTTTGCATGTTGCAATTAACTTGTTTTCTTTTGTGCCTTGATTCTTTTTTAGAATAGGGGGAGAGTCCTTAGCGGTGGCACAAAACACGTACGCCGTCAGTTGGTTTAAAGGCAAAGAGTTAAATCTTGTGTTTGGATTACAGCTGAGCATGGCCAGAATTGTAAGTGTGCAACTGTGTAGCTTTGATTTGCAGAATTAAGGTGTGGGGCTTGTCTTGGCAGTGGAACAGGTGGAAAACTGTATTACTCATGCTCCCCCTAGTGAGTTTGAGTTAAAAAATGGGCATGAAATTGAAAGTTAAAATGTTAAAAGTTTGTGGTAGATGGACAAAAGATTCACAAGGAAGTGGGTTAATAAGAATTCTTAGAACCTGTCAACTTCTGCAGAAGCCTGGGGGTGTTATTAGCACAGGTTACTGGGTGGAACAGGCACAGTGCTGCATTTCATCAGATGAGTTGGTTCCTGGTGTATCATAAAACTTTGGCTTAGCTGAGTGGCGCTGGTGGCTCAAGGACCAAGTGCAGGCTCTGATAAATGAGTTGGGATGGCTGCTTCAGGAAACTCCTGGCCTCATCTGCTGTTGTGAGATGGTTTTGGCCCTCTTGCTGGTTCTGATAGGAGCTGTGTGACTGCACCTCAGCTGTGTTGCTTTGCTCTGTTCTAAACCCACCTCTAGCAGCAGTTTGATTACACTAACACACCAGGCTGTGAATGAAGAGAGTGGGGACATGCCTCTCCTGTTAGGGGTGGCCTTCAGCAGCCTGCTGTATCTTAAGCTGGTGCAGATATTTACCTTGGCAAAAGAGTGAGCTGATCACAGCTGGGGCTGGGTTGATGTTCAGGCTGTTGCTAATTAGCAGTTGCCTCGTCTCAGCTGAACTGAAGTTAGCTGTCTGTTGTTAGCCTTGGGATTGCAGCCGTGGATCCCTGCTCTAGAAGCAGAAGGGGAGGAAAAAAGTGCTTCTTCCTGATGCCTATCAGGTGGGAATTCTGTTTGCTTTAAGATGGGGTGTTTAAATGCAACTCAGTTTGAGCTAATGCAGTGTATAATGTGGATTTTATGGCACTTCTAATGTCTCTGTTGAAAAACTGTTAGAGTTGTTTAAAATTTCAGTTTGTGACAGTCTGTTAGTGTTGCAGTGATTTAATTTATTACAAACACGGACCAAACCAGCAGGGAATCATTTTATTGTTGTTACTAGTGGTTTATGTTCCCTCTGTAGCACCTTACCTGTTTGTTTTAAACACTGTTCAGTAAGCAGTCTGCCTAATGTTGCTTTTGAATTCATACAGTTGTGAAATACATTATTCTTCACATGAGTCTGTTCTGCCTAGGGGAGCACAGTGAACATGAATATCATGGGATGGATATACTCTAGAGTTCGAGATCTTCTGGGGTATGCTGGTCCCAGTACTCTTGGGTTAACTCTCATGATAGGTCAGTAATATTTTGAATTGATGTCACCTGCAATTTTAGGCTTCTGAATTTGAACAGCATGCATATATGTTCATGATTTGTAACTAACTTGAAGGTAGGATGAGTATGTTTGAGACTGGGAAGAGCACTTCAAATACTGTTTGTGTCAATGGCTAATATTCTTATGCAGAATGTATGATTGCTGCATCTGATAAAACGCTGTATGATTTTCGTGGTTGCAAAATTCAACTGTGTATCTCGTGGAGGTGAAACATTTAACATACTTTGAGTAAAAAACAGACTTGAAAAACTTTCTGAAGAGTATCATGTCAGAGCTTGTGTGTAGTTGTCTGATGTGTAAAAGTGAATTTCAGGTGGCTTTGGGTCTGTGTTCCTTTCCTTCAGAGCCGTGGGTGTTAAGCCCTGGGTGTTGGGGCCACCGCCCAGGCTTTGTTTCAGTTCTTGCAAGGTACAGATAAGGAGCTCTGCTGTGCTGAGGGGGAGTGGTGGTGATGTTTTAATTCACATAAATGTAGCTACATGCTTGTACTGCAGCTCAAGGCAGACGTCTCTCATGTGGCAGGCTTCAGTATTTACACCTTACTCTGAGTTGTACAGCTACTGAGTCTTGTATGTAAGACAAGCTGTTGTTAAAGGTGGTTTGTGTTAGATGTGTGAAGGTACGCTGCACTGGCTGTGCTTAAAAGCCAAATTCCTCCTCGAGTCAACAGCTAAACATGTCGCGTTGCCTTCTTGCAGGTGGCGTAACGTGTCTCTTTTCACTGGCCTGTGCGTTAATCCTGGCTTATCTGGACAAGAGAGCAGAGAAGCTGCTTTGTAAAGAGCAAGGGAAAACGGGTGAGTGGTGAGAGTGGTGTGGCTGGGCTTGCCTTGGGCTTCATTCTGGAACAGACTCTGTGCACGCTTGCATTTTCGGTAATGCAGTGGCTGTTGCTTAACGTCTTTTTCACAGCTATAGCTTTAATCATGATTTTTAATTTGTTTTTGTATCAGTAGGAAGTTTCACAACTTTAAACACCAGTTTACAGGCGGATGCAGTCATCTGCTTGATTTAGAAAGCATGTGGAGAGTCTCCCAGTTTACACCAACTCGATCTGTGCCGTTGCCACTGGTACTTTTTGTTGGAATTGGTCTTGTTTCCTTTAGTAGGAGTGTGAAAACATGCAGCTCTTCTCTGTCTGTGGTGTTTTGAGTTTTCTGTATGGCAGAGTTTAGACCAGTTAAAAACAAACTAAACTTGAGATCCAGGTAAGACCATGTAACACGAGGCGTCAGACTGGAATTTTGCTAGCCGATTAAACATGGCATTGAAAAAGTGGTTTGTGTTTAATTCTGCTGCGTGAGGCTTTGAGGCTTTGGAGTGCTTGTACATCCAGCTTAACGTGCGACAGACAATTTTTTCTTGACTTTGGCACTGTTGATTTAGCACTTGTATATTCTTAAGGGGTTCTCACTGTGTAAACTTTACACAAGAGAGTAGCCCAGTGGCAGGAATATGCTTTAGCAGTGACTTGTCATCACCGGGATGTTTGTTCAGTGTGGATGAATTTCAGATATGCTTATGCTGCCTGAAACAATGTTGTCTCTTGCCCCACTGCAGGTGAAGTGATTAAGCTGAGCGACGTGAAGGACTTCTCTTTGTCCCTGTGGCTTATATTTGTCATCTGTGTCTGTTACTATGCAGCGGTTTTTCCTTTCATTGGGCTTGGAAAGTAAGTGTCTCTCACTCATACAGCTGTTCCCCTGGAATTTGGCTGGGGTTTTAACTAGCTGCTGACAAAGGGAGAGCTTGAGGCTAATATTGAAGAATCCCAGATGGCTACAGAACCACTGGTCTCCCAGCAAGGCTGTGCTGTGTCTTGTCATTTCTTCCGTGGCATCGTTCACTCTACTTGCCATACACATAGACACAACTTACGGTGTCCTTGTGGGAAACACCATTGCTTAACATAGACTGAGTTGTCAGAACTCAAAAGCATAATGCATGCTCCGTTTCCTGATTTAAAACTTGATACAGATTTAAAGCATGGCATGAGTTTTGGGGTGGGAAGCTGTGGACAGCCATCATGTAGAATTCCTTCCATACTCGTAAGCTGTTGGCTGTGAGGTGGGGATAAACGTGGTTACAACTGCGGACTGATGTTGAAAGCCAACTGTGTCCTGGGCTGCACCCAAAGCAGCGTGGGCAGCAGGGCGAGGGAGGGGATTCTGCCCCTCTGCTCTGCTCTCCTGAGACTCCCCTGCAGTGCTGCGTTCAGCTCTGGAGTCCCCAACACAAGAAGGACATGGAGCTGTTGGAACGGGGCCAGAGGAGGCCATGGAGATGATCCGAGGGCTGGAGCACCTCTGCTATGGAGATAGGCTGAGAGAGTTGGGGCTGTTCAGCCTGGAGAAGAGAAGGCTCCGGGGTGATCTTATTGCAGCCTTCCAGTACTTAAAGGGGGCCTACAGGAAAGCTGGAGAGGGGCTTTTTCCAGGGGTATGTAGTGACAGGACAAGGGGCAATGGCTTTAAACTGAAAGAGGGGAGATTTAGATTGGATATAAGGAAGAAATTTTTCACTCAGAGGGTGGTGAGGCACTGGAACAGGTTGCCCAGAGAAGTTGTAGATGCCCCATCCCTGGAAGTGTTCAAGGCCAGGTTGGATGGGGCTTTGGGCAACCTGGTGTAGTGGAGGGTGTCCCTGCCCATGGCAGGGGGGTTGGGACTAGATGGTCTTTGAGGTCCCTTCCAACCCAAACCATTCTTTGATTCTCTTACTTTGCTGACTTTGGTTTATATCAAGTTGAAACTTGAAGCTTTTGTGTGTAGGTTTCCCTTTTGAACTACATGACTTGATCTAATAGCTCAGTCAAACGGGTTTTGATCTGTTGAGCTCAGGGCATGTTTCCTTTCGGGTGAGACGGAGAAGTCTGAGACGACTTGGAGGCACCATACAGTCAACAAGCTAGATGCCTATTTTTTGCTTGTGCATGTGTTCTAAAAACTCTCACTTTGGTCTCTTGCAGTATGCTCATTGCTAACGTCTCGTTATTTGGTCACGTGTTGGTCACGTACTTTGGATGTTTTCCCCAAAGTGTAATTTGAATGGTCCTCAGACAAAAATTTGTAGTCTGATAAGCAGCTCCTAAATGCATTATAAATGAGAATTTGAGATGTATGTCAAAGCTGTATAGCTGTGTTTAAAAGCTTTCTGCAAACTAGGTTCTTGTGTCTTCACTTTGTCTAGCTTAACTTTTCTTTCATGTCATACAAATGTGCTTTTTTTTTTTATCTTCAGGGTTTTCTTTATTGAGAAATTCAAATTCTCGTCTCAAGAAGCAAGTGCAATTAACAGGTATATTGTGGTTGATTTAACAAGTAGATGTGCTAGTGCTGTGTTCTAGGGGATGCATCTATCTTTGGGCTCTCACCACGTGGAGAAGTTTGGGATCTGCTGTTGTGGGTGTTAACTTGCCTTTGGGTGGACGGATAGATTTCACATGGCACAAGGAATAATTGGGAGGTGTGGGTATTTGTTTAAATAAAAATGTCTTACATGTTCACATTGAGGAATTGGAAAGAAAAGGCTCTGTCTGAAGGGTGTTATTTTGGTAATTGGTGATTCCCTTCTGAGTGATAGAAACAGTTTAATAGTAGCACTAAAGGAACTAAGTTTTCCTTGTTTGAAGATCAATTTGATGTGGGAAAAACCCAAATAAACACCACCACCACCACCAAAACACTTGCTGGTATACGATTCCAACAGCTCTCAGTATGTCACTATTTCCTTGGGTGTTGAGTGTTTTCATGTCCTCAGACCTTTTGGGAATTTTGAGTTCTGGAGTCCGTTTGGGGTTTTTTGGTGTGGTTTTTCTTATGGCCACACAGATAAGAGGCCATAAGACCTTCCAGTGACCTTCTTGTTGCCCAGAGAAGTTGTAGATGCCCCATCCCTGGCAGTGTTCCAGGCCAGGTTGGATGAGGCTTTGGGCAACCTGGTGTAGTGGAGGGTGTCCCTGCCCGTGGCAGGGGGGTTGGAACTAGATGATCTTTGAGGTCCCTTCCAACCCAAACCATTCTGTGATTCTATGATAACAAGAGATTGTGGTGTTTTATCTGGAGACACTTGGATTGTGTGACACCTAAAGCTGCCCAGGGCTTGATGGTTCACTTCTCTTATGTTTATTTTGTTGTAGTATTGTGTATATCATTTCGGCACCCATGTCCCCAGTCTTTGGACTCCTGGTGGATAAACTCGGCAAGAACATCATCTGGGTTTTGTGTGCTGTGATAACTACACTTGCTTCTCATATTATGTTGGCTTTTACCTTCTGGAACCCCTGGATAGCGATGGTAACTGATTCTCTGAGACTTACAGCTAAATATGATAAAAATAAGAAATTGATGAGTAAGCATTGATGCTGGATTATTCAGCATAAGTTGCCACTGTCTTCTGACTGTTTAGGTAGTCCTTAAAACCTATTTTGATATCCCTGCCTTTAAGAAGGATATACCATGTGAAGCTGAGTTTAAAAGTAAACTGGAAAAGCAAGGAATGCGTAATACAGGGAAAACTTAACATGAGCTGTGTGAGGCATGAAGATAACAATTGAGGCTTTGGCGTTTCGTGGAGGGAGGCAATAGTGCATTTTGGGGCAGAAAAAATTGGCAACAAAAATCTTTGTTGTTGGTTTACCCTTCCCAGGGCAGGTTCCCTGAGAAATGACTTTTGAACTAAGGTTTACAGGCTTAAATACGGTGTTAAAAATAGGGTTCTTGTTTTTCAGGTATTTTTCTAGTGCATTGCAGCTTTGATCTTTTCCCTCTGGGTATCTGAGTCAGGCTTTTTACTTGATGCTAATTAAATAGGGTTTAGTTTGTGGGTCACTTCTGGAAAAAGTTCTCTCTCCTAAATGTGCATATTTAATTAGAACAGTATTGTAAGAAATGTTACTTTAGCTCTTTCTTTTTGTCTTTTGGGAGAAGGGGAAAACCAATATGTTCATTTATTAGAACTCTATAGCGAAAATTGAACATCTGTTTGGTTGTTCTTATTTATTTCACCAGTGTTTGCTAGGAGTAGCCTACTCATTGCTTGCCTGTGCCCTGTGGCCCATGGTGGCCTTTGTTGTTCCAGAACACCAGCTGGGAACTGCTTATGGCTTGTAAGTACTTAGATCTGTTTGGTTTTGCTGCTCTCCAGTGACCATGTCCTGATAATTATTGAACCACTGAATATCAAGTAGTTCTAACACGTTAATAATTCTTCCAAGCAAGTTAATCTCATCCTTTGTTCAGTGCCACTGATGGTGTTTTCTTTAAAAATAAGTTTCTACGGAGTGATAATGCTTTGTTTCTGTGTTAGTATGCAGTCCATCCAGAATCTCGGTCTGGCAATTATTGCTATAGCAGCTGGGATGATTCTGGACACAAAAGGATACTTGTTTCTTGAAGTCTTCTTCAGTGCTTGTGTTTCCTGTAAGTAGTAAAAACATGGAAAATGGATTCTGTACGTTCAGGACACTATATTAGGCTTTTTAATATTTCCAGTAAAACAGTAATGACTTCTTTCTTGCTGTGCCATTGGATAGAGGTTTCAAACGGGGCGATGCTGACAGCAACTCAAGCCTAGTGAAGTGTTTAGTGGTTTTCTTGAACTCATTTAGTGTAAGTAGTTTCAGTGTTTGGAAAAAAAATCAAGAGTAAAAGGGCAGATGAATGATACCCTTAAAGGCCATGTTTGAGGACAGTCATTAACATAACTGAAATGGAAAGAACATTTTCTGAGTTACCATGCCACTTATGAGCGTAGTGGAATTTTGAAAAGTGATTAAGAGCTGCTGCTGGAAAAATATCCCCTCTATTACAACTGTCATGGAAAATCTTAGTTGTTGCTTGGTTGTATGTTAAACTGTTCTTCTGTCATTGTTGTAAATAATTTATTGTCAGCTAAAACGGTCCTTTTCTTTTTTTCAGTGTCACTAATAGCTGTGGTCATGCTGTATTTTGTGAATCACCTCACAGGTAAGTGTTCTCACCTTCTCTTGGTACTTTTTTTATCATAATTCATGAAGTTATCAAGCTGAACTGTTTACAGGTGGTATTGTACAGTCCTGTGCTCCGTAGTCCATAGCTCATGGATTTGACAACAGGAGCATCTCTTGATGAGGCCTGTGCTTGTGACTTTTCCATAAATGCTCTGGAGTGTAATTCCCTGAATCTTGCTGTGAAGTTAAATCTCATCACCAGGGCAGTGGTACCTCTCCCTGCAGCGGACTCGAACAAACGTGTAGGATATTCTGCAGCTTTTTCTAAACCACATATGAAACTTGACTCTATTTGTGTCTGTAAATGTAAAAACTTATTTCTGTAGACTTTCCTTCAAATAGCAGTGTTCTTACAACTATTTTTTTGAAGCAGTAACTACTGAAAGATCTGTAAGGGATATTAATTTGTTTTCTTTTGTAAAGTTACTCCACTGATTTCTTTTGTCAAGTGCTCTGAGAGTTTTTGTAGCAAGGTACGATATCAGAGATACAATACAAAAAGACCAATTTTGAAGTTTCAAAGTATGTATTACTTCTGTTGCAGGTGGTGACCTCAACTGGTCTGCAAAGAAAAGGGAAAAACTGCAACAAGTAGCTGCAACTGAGTAAGTATAAAGAATAGTGTCCTTATGAAATGTTTAACCTGAAGTAATTAAGTCGATTACTGCCTGAACTCAGTCTCTTTTGTAGGTCTGACACTTACATTGAATGTTATTTTCTTTCTTACAAGATAGTAGTAGGATTTCATATTCCTGTCTCCTGTGAAGAATTAGAGGAAGTGACAATTAGCCAGGTCTCCTTTCCTGACACTCTTGCTTGCTACTTCTCTTTAGTAATTTCAGTAACCTTCCAACTGGGTGGAATAAAGTGTTTTTAAAAAAAAAAGTTGCATCACTTTTTAAAAAATGTACCTCATTTATATGGTGGAAATATTACCTGGATTTAATGTCAGGTGATGCATGGACCACTTTTTTTTTAAGCATCATAGTAAAAACCAGATTTCTCTTCAGAAGAAACTACACTCCAGTCACTTCCCCATCACTTTCAGCTTGGTCCTCTTGCTGTCTTATTTAGAAGTCTGAATTCAGCTGGTCTCTGCAAACTGTGGCTTGGGTCCAAATTGCAGTGCTAATGTGGAGCTTGGTTTGTGGTCACATCTGTGTCATAAATGTTGTTGATTGCGGTGAAGTTTCCATTTTTAGAGAGAAAAAAATAGGGCAGGGCTATTTCAATAAAGTGGAATCTGTTTCCTTTTAGAGGAAATGGAGCACTTGAGGTGGGGTTGGGGCAGAAATTGTTGAAATAAGCAAATTCTGATAGTTAAGTAAGCAAATGTCATTTTGTGGGAGACTTGGATGTCCTGCTTTCCTCTCTGCAGAAAATACAGACAGTGACACTCTTCAGAATAGTAACTTAAAAAAATCCTTTTCCTTGGTCTTGAGAAAACACTGGTGGCATGTTAAAGTCTTCAAGTACAGTGGGCGGTGTTAAGGGTCCCTTGCTGTCCACAGCCCTAACAGCTGGATTTGGGTGCTCTTGCTTTTTAAGAGTGCTGTTTGATCAAACCTGGAGGTGTCATTGACCTACTGCTGGGATATTGCCTGAGTTCTGGGGCACTGGATTTATCCCCTCTGCTCAGTACAAATTTTCCTTGTTTTTTTTGTTTGCTGAGAATGCTGAACGAGGGGTAAAGCTCTCAGTGGATACAGAGTGCTGTGCAAGGAAGTGGGTTAGTCTTACAACTTTGAAAATCATTGCCTTGTGTTGAAGGAAGAGGAGAGAAAAAGCATTGTATGGCAAAGTCCATTCAGAGAAGTCACCTTAAAGGCGAGACAAAAGACCCTTCCACTCCAAATTCTCCATTATCTACTTAACTGTCTAGGAAAAACTGCCTTTTTTTAAAGTAGACATAATGTAAAGCCTGTCCATCAGACTGAGTTTGGGCAGCTTAGTTTCTGTCCTGATGGCCTTGTTGAAGATGCTGCTTTTAGTAGTGTCTCAGGACCCAAAAATCGTGTTAACCTTTTCCTAGTTCTAATTAGTGCTGTGAGGATTATAAATAAGCTCATGGGAGAGCATAATGTCAATGAGGATGAAGTCTTGGTTAATTTACTGATTTTTTTTTTAATGTATTTAAAACAAATGTTTAATTTGCTTAGGGGTAGAACCAAGTCTAAGAAATCTGAGGTTTTGCTCTTCTGATATGAATTTGTTTTGGTGAGGAGGTGATGGAGAACTGTTGGAGCGGGCACAGTAGATGCATTTTGTGAAGTAATAAGTCAATATGTGGCTGTGTCATAGCTTTCAAGACAACATCTGTAGAATTCAAGCTGCTTGTACATGAACAGCACAGAATTTTTGCTTTTGAAGTGCTTTCTGTTCTGACCTAATTCGGCTCAGTGAGTCTCTCCAGATCTTGAAGTTCATTTGCCTGTAGTGTTGGAATTCCTTACTTTTTAGTAGGTAACTACACTTCACCTGCAGATGTTATACGTGTCACAGCTTATATGTAAACTTGTTCCAGACAAATGCTTTTCTAACAAGACAGCTCTTCTAAGTGGACTGTGTGAATTTCTCTAAAACTAGATTTGTAACTGTCCATATGGTGATAACTTAAATTTAGTCTTGAGAAAAATGGAAACACCTGTCAGCAAGGTCTAGCCAGGTGACTCGTGGTGGGGTGTAATGTGGTTTTGATTCTTGGCCTAATTTGTGGGCTTGTTACCCATCAGCAAAGCTCAAAGTAGCCAAAACCTCACCAGACCTGGTGAGCATGCTAGCTTAGCCGTGATGAGCATCATCCTTGAGCCAAGAGGTCACAGCCAGCTTTTGTACAAATGCAACAAATAAACCCCAAACCCTCGTACCCAGGAGGAAAGTGTGTCCAAACAGAGCTGCTTTTCAGTCTGCCTGGCCCATGTGGGATGTGTGTAACCCTTCCAGTGTTGATCGTGAAAGATGGCTTTGTATTAGTGTGTGCTGTGAGATACAGTGTCTTAGAGCAATGTTTTCAGTAATTTTTATTACGATGTGTTTTGCAGAAAAGAAATTTGAATAGCAAATATCATCCAGAAGTGGGGAGCATTTGATCAGCATCACGTCAGCTTTGAAGAATTATAGTGTTGTTTAGTTTGGTGGTCAGCACTGGGCAGTAGTTCTTTGGAAAAGAAACTAACATGCTGGGGATTTTACAGTAAATGGCTAAATTTTATGCTTTGTAACCAGTTTTAACTAATGCCAAATCATCCCTTAATTCGAACAGAATGGGTTCACAGTGTTTTACACTGTGTTTAAGCTCTCTCATTGGAAAGAGGGCACTGCAACCCAAGGCAAATATGTTCATCTGAAGATAAAGACTAGTATAAAGTGTCTTCTACGTGCAGCACTGCTATTCTGGTGAGGGCATTTTATGTTCTGTAATAAGGCTCATCACCTTACAGAGCTTAGAAACGGGTCACTGCTGCTACCTTGGTCACTGTCTTAATGCAAACCACTGTCTTAAGTGTATTTAGAGCTTTGTTCTGTCCTGTTTCTCTTGAAGACTTATGTGGAAAATGAGCAACAACGCTCTGGTCAACTATTGACTCTTTTTTAGGAGACTGCTATAAATTCTGAAGACTGCTGAGCAGTCTTTTATTTGCATTTTTTGACAATTGATTCTTTTTGTATTGTAATCTTTCTTTTAAAGAGTGAAAGCTTGTTTAATAAAGAGAGAGTAAAAATTGTTACAAAAGCTCACCGAGCATGTTGTAATGTGTGAATACCAAAAGGTTTATCTTTCTACTGAAGTCTTGCAATCTAAATAAAAGGAAACTGCAGAAAACAGCCTCGCTCGTTCTTTACGCTGAATTAGAGTGATCCATATGCATTTCTTAGTCTCTTTTAATCTGATATCCAGTGTTCACCTAGAAACATTAACACGCTTTTCCTAGTTGTTAAAAAATAGAACTGCATACACAAGATAAAGTTGCTTGGGTTTGCACTCCTCAGTGCAAGTATCTTAAACCAATTTTCTTTTCCAGAGCGGAAGAACAAGAGAGACTCAGACGTCAAAATGAAGATGACTTGGCTAAATTACAGCCAAAAGCTGATGGCTTTAGTTTAAGGAATAAATACCTCTCCAAACTAGGCGCTCAGGTATTAGTAACAAAGTAGGGGTTTTGATAATGCAGAATAGAACAATGAGATACTTATTTTAAGAATTTGGCTTGCTGTTTGAAATAGCCAGCAAATCAACCTCTAATTAAAATGCTAAATGCGTGTGCTTGGTCTGAGAAATGAAGTCTCACCAATGGTAATTAAAAATCTAATGAAGAAAACAAAATCAATGGCTGGCGGACCGAATAAGTTGAGGAGCAGGCTTATTACGATGCATGATTTTTTTTTTTAATTTTATTTCTTTGCAGCTACCAGATAATTACTCTTCCTGTTTATCGACAATGGTACACAGAAGCGTGTTGAAATAGCGTCTTGCCCTACTTGCAAAAGCAGAAATACATTGAAGTTCCTGGTACACAAAACTCTTGTTTCCAGTACTGACAGCTACCACAGCAAAAGCAGTGTGATGCACCATGCTTTTCTGCAAGCATAGATCTTATTTTAAAAATTATTTGGCTGTAGCTCCCCCTCTGCACTGTGGGTGCATAATGCAGGTACCAATGAAGGAGCATCTGGCTGTTTGTTTGAAACCATGAGTTGTGTTCTGCACCCTCCTGTCCGAAATACTCAGTGAGTAGCTCGAGTCAGTAGCAAAGACTTGATCTCTTCAACAACGGCTGAAATGTGAAAGCTTCATTTCAGTAATCAAACTGCTGTGAGGTGAGCCTCCGTGTAAGTACGTGTTCTTCAGCCTCTCCAGTTGGACAACTTGGTTACCATGTTGGAAACGGTCTGTTTCATTTTTCGTGTAGAAAAACGTAAGGAAAAACTGCCTTTTTATTTTGGTCCAAGCAACTATTTCAGAGGAAGCCAAACTGTAGTGATTTCAGTGTTACAGTTCCAAAAGTGCTAGCCCTGGAATTTAGTACCAGGTCACACACAATAAACCTCATGCAAGTCCTGATTAATGTGAAAATTGATGTATTTTTAAGAGGCAGTGACTAAAAATGATGGAAAAGTTAAATGCCAGAACTGAAGTTTGGCATTCAGTGGAAAAATATTGTTTGGTTTCATAATGCAACGTGATGCTTTCCCATAATTTCAGTGCAAGGCTTGTTGCTAATTAACTAGTTCCTACTCACTCCTGCACAGTGTGGTTTTAATTTGATTTTATTCCTCGTAAAGACTCACTTACATAACTGAATGAACTACTCCTAAACTAAGCTAATCTTACTTTAAAAGGCTTTCTGGGGCACTGGGTGTGCCAAAGGAGGAGCTGCTGGACAGGTAGAGAAGGTGCACAGGGGTGAGTTTCCTTGGCTGACTTCAGGGAGCCCTTGATGAATTGCTTGACTGCAGAGGAAGTAATTAGTCAAAAGAAAAATGATACATTATGTGTGTAATTTTGTTTTTTCCCCCAGTTATCTAGGCGCAACTCATGGTCTTAAGGTGTGGGTTGTTTTTTTTTTAAAGGTAATTTTCAGTGGAGATTTCTCTTGTGTTTCTGAAAGATTAAGATCATCATCCTGAAACACTAAGCCAGGGTTCCTTTGGTGAAGATTTCTTTGGAATACAGAACTATAGGGAAATGAAGTAGCAGGTTGTGAACTACACCAGGCTTACTGCCGAGGAGGAGGAGTACACTGACCTGTGATGACTTTTGTTGGTGCTTTCTGTGCTCCCTTGCAGAGCCACTTTCAGCTCTGAGGACGGTTGATACAAGTTGATTTATTTTTCTTTGTAGACTTGTGAATTCTGCGTCTCTCTTAATAAAAGCTTCAAATGGATGCTGGCCTGGTTTTCTTACCTGACTGTTTAGTGATGAGTTGTTGCCCTTGGTGGTTGTTAGACATGTTTGTTTGTTTGTTTTTAAGAGACATGACTTCTGCTTTCTCCGGAGAAATGGGGAGTTTCTGGGGCAGTGTATCTTTGAGGAGCCAAAGGCACAGGTTCTCCCAGTTCCCTCCACTGTTAGGTTGAGGTGTTTTTCTTTCTTGGGGAGGGAGGGAATTAGATTCTTGTTCTTCTGGTGCTCTTCATCTCCTTCAGCTACCTGCTTCTCCTCTAATTCCGACATGTTATGGTTGTAGTAACTCTTCTGCTGTTGCCTGTAGGTCGACATTCCACGTGTGACATGACAGACAGTGACCATGAACTTTGTGTCGTGTCGAAACTTTATTTTTCAGTTCCTAAATTCTCTGTGCCCTTGAGCATCTTGCTAAAGTTCTGGGGTGGACTTCTGTAAATGATACAACTTCCCGTGTCACGTTGTCCATGTGGTCACCCAAGCCAGAGCTGTTGAAGAGTTTTCTCCTGGTAGGAATGACCATGTGTGTGTTCTGGTGAGCCTTGCTGATTTTTATCTACCCGAGATGTTCATTTTATGCTCTCATTTCAGGCCCTGTTTGGGTTTGCCTTCTGTTGTAAATCAACAACATGACCCTCTCGGAGCATCTCTGTCTGAGCTGTGGGCTCCTGGGTCGTTATGTCCCTCCTGAGACCCTCCCTTGCCATGGTCCTGCAGGGAATCCAGCCATGCAGTGGGCTCCTTACTGCAGAACCCCTCCAGGCACCCACCAGCCCTGAGTATGGAAAAAAGTTTTAGCCCAGACTAGGTAGTGATGTAACTTAATTAAATATGTTAAAATCAGTAGCTAACTGTTTGGCTCTTGAATTATTGTGCCAATTTCTCCATAATCTGCTTTCTGCAGCTTGGGCAGTGAGCTTTCACTCAGGTGTCTCTTAATATTTTGGTCCTTTGACAAACTTTTGTGTGATAAGGATGTGATGTTCACGGTATTATCCAGGAACAAGCACCTGGGGTTACTGGAGGCTGCTCACCCTCCGAAGGTAGGGGAGATGGGTCTGGGCTGGTGGATGAAATCAAGAGGGAAAAGGTGAGAAGTGTGGTTTGTCCCAACAAACACTCCTGTTTTCTGGGATACCTGTCACTAGAGGTCAGTGCTGCAACATTACTGTGCAAGAAATGTGTTCTGTAATAGGACAAAAAGTCTTATTTCGAGGCTGCAACTGCTGTCGTTCATTTCTGTCACTTATTTACGTGACTTTGGAGGTTGGTTGCCAAAGACACATGCTAATGCCAGCAATTTTTGGCAGGGAGAGGTCACTTTTATTTCTTCTCGTGCAAGTAAAAGAGGGTAGGGTAAAAAAGTGACCAAACTTGTCACTTTTAAAGCTGATTCACTGAATGGTTGAGGTTGTCAGGGACTCATTGTTAATTCCCATGCAGCCCAGGGCAGGACTAACTGAAGCTGCTGCCATCCCACCTAATACGAAGGCAGTGACCTGAACCAGAGCTGTTGACTGGCAACGTTAGCATCCTTAGAAAAAAATCTTTTTGACCCCAATTGGATTTTTTTGAAACCTGAAGTTGTGTAAAATGATATAGGTTTAAATTCTAGCTGGAGTAATCCCTGCCCTGTCATCCGTTATATATACCAAGCAAAGTTATTTAAAACAATTCTCTCTCAAAAAAACCCAAGCCTCAACTCTCTGATCAACAGATGGAAAAAGAAGAGATGATCAAAGTCCCCAAATCTTGCAGTCTAAGACCTAAATCATGTCCTATGGAGAGAACTGTGCTGCCTGCTCAGGATTTTATTGTATAGCCGTGTGTGTTTGGGTGCAGGGAGCGCTGCTGACCCCTTTCATCATCAAGGCTTGGTGTTCCCATCACACAACCCTCTTGTTTGCTGTTATTTCACTTCTATCAGGAGCTCGTTTTGGGAATACTATCTTGGTGCATGGATAGAGAAGTTTCTGCTGCATGGAGTCTTGGTCTCTGCAACCAACTGGGTAGTTAGATCCTCCCAAACCTACACTTCTCTTAAATTGACTTTGTTTCCAAGCTGGATAAATTCTTGGTTTTCCATTTCCTTGGGAGTGATTTGGTCCGCATCCCGTAGGCTGCTGGCCTGGGAATAGTTCATATTGGAGAGCAGTGTGTTATTCAGTGCGTTACTGAGTGGTTTGGGGGAGCGTGTTGTGGGGCAGCTTTGTCTGATCTGGCTGGAAAGGTCCCACTGGAGAGGTTTCAGCTGGGTCGTATAGCTGGACCTGACCTTTGGGGGAAAGCCTACGTGTCCATCCTAGGGCGTCTGTGGATTTAGGGCTGAAATCCTTCTGTTCTGCAAGCAAAAGGGGGGGCCTTCCAGCAAACAGAAGGAAGGAAACAGTTCCTGTTCTGTTTCCTCTGAACAAGCAAATTTTACTCTTTCTGGTATTTTTATAATAGCGTCTGCGGATCTGCAACCACCAGGCTGTTCCTCGAATTATTAAAATCCATGTTACTATAGTATCTTAATTAATTGACTTGTTTACATGTTTACAAAGCTCTGTCTGTAGATATAAACCAGCTGTTAATGTCAGTAACTCAGAAAGAGTGGAGCTGGCATCCTGTGTTTCTCCTGTCAGCTGGAATGATGGTTGAACATAACTGGCCACTTCAAATTAAGGTGAGTGAAGTAAGTGCCTTGTAGCAGCTGGGGTGAAATGGCTCACTTGTGGCTGTTGTAAATTGATGAAAAAATCTCACTTGTCACTTAAATACTGATGGGAAATTGGTTAACCTACTTAAGGACTTGAAAAAAAAAAATTCTACTTTATTCACAGAGCCAGTGAATGTCTACAGGTGATCGTTATGTGTTTTTTTTTTTTAATATTTTGTATTTTTAGATATCTATATTTGAGGGTTTATTTTATAGTGTAGCAGTGGGAAGAAATCAGCTTAGATTTGTTGTTCAAGATAAAGTCTAATGAGGAATTGTCTCTTAAAACGCTTAAATGGCTTTAAACTGAAAGAGAGGAGATTTCCATTAGATCTAAGGAAGAAATTCTTCCCTCAGAGGGTGGTGAGGCACTGGCACAGGTTGCCCAGAGAAGTTGTAGATGCCCCATCCCTGGAAGTGTTCAAGGCCAGGTTGGATGAGGCTTTGGGCAACCTGGTGTAGTGGAGGGTGTCCCTGCCTATGGCAGGGGGGTTGGAACTGGATGGTCTGTGAGGTCCCTTCCAACCCAACCATTCTCTGATTCCACGGTGTTCCCCGTTGGCCTCTTCCGTGCCGGATGGTTTTGCATGGCTGTTGGGCGATCTCTTCCAGTCAATGTTTCCGGGTAACTCAAACCTGTGAACCCAAGTGTAAAACCAGCTTGTCTGGCTTTGCCATAGCTTTGCCGTGAGCTGACTGACTCGGGGTGACCCTCGTTTGGTGTCCTGCAGTTCAGACCTACCTTGAATATGAGGTTAAAAATAAAACCTCACTTCTGACACATAGTCTAGCAGAACCTATACTGCTTATAAAATAAAAGCTCCCAAAAGCAAATTTTCCCAGTCTTTGTATATAAAAAT